TCACATTATAGTCTAGTAGTTTGTTCAAAACAATGCTTCTGTAATTTGCTACTCAAGAATATTAGAGGTAAGTATGAGAAAATAAGAACTAAAGCAATGTTAACACTCTTCTTAATTTTTTTTAACTTAAAAAAAAAACTGTTAGAAGTATCAGATTAATCAGCAGTATCAGTAGTAGTACTGTTAAAAATCTTAATGATACCCCTATGGATGAATAGTTTGGTGAAAATAAGAAACTGCATTTCTCCAGATATGGAACAAAGAACACATCAAATTACAACTGTCTATAAGTGTTTTGATTTTTAAAGTTTTAACTATATGAATGAAGGTGATTTGAACCTTTTTTAACATAAACCTTTCAGTGTCCTACATTTGGAACAGAACTGTCCCACATTAGTTAATGCAGATTGTCTCATATGATTTGGCACTAAGATTTCTTTATGAGTGTGATATCTGCATTTTCTCTGGTGGTCTGATGAGGACACATCCTGAGAATGGTACTGGATGTGGGTTTAATGTATTGGTTTGATATCACAATATATTGCAGCAGACCAAAATGCAAAAGAAAAACAAGTTTCACATTAGGGTAAATCACCCTATATCAATTTCTGTTTCCTTTACTTGTTTAAAAGTTCAGCTTTTCAACCATTCAATGCATTCCTCATATGGATTGTTTAATCCTGTTTTATTTATATAAAGGCAGCTATAGACAGATTTATTTTATTTGCACCAAACTGCCCAGCCCATGTGGACATACAAGACACCACAAATACACTGTTGCTTCCATGAAAAAAAAAAAATCAAACTTTACCATTATTTCATGCATTCCTGGATAACAAACCATATGAATTCCTTGTGGCAAAATGAGATTTATCCCTCTTTTGGGATAACAAAAGTTGTCTTCATGATCCTCAGTAGCCTGCCTGTTGCATTTTAAAATGTCTGGAAATAATTCAGTTGTTTCTTATAAAAATCCATTATGTACACTCTGAAGAAGTACATTCCCAGGCATGTGAAATAAATGGATGGATAGCTCATATCATAAGCTGTGAGCAGCACACACAGTGCTAATAGGAATTTGCAGTTACTCTGGTGTAGTTTGTTGAATGCTGCACTAGATGTCTCTCTTGACATTTCTCCTGGCTGTTTCAGCTGTTAGGCAGTCTCGTGAAAAAAAACAGGCCCATGTACTGCCTGCTACAGTATGCATGACCCAGTATTCCTGGACTTTTCTATTCAGTTAATGGGCTTGTTTTGTCAGTCAAAGGAGGTTCTGACTCCTTACTAACTTCTGATTTTTCCCTGAAAAGGTCATCAGTCTATCACAGGGCTGACATTTAGACAAGCAACCACACTCACTCCTACAGGCAATTTAGAGTCACCAATCAACCTAAGGAGAGGAAGGAGGCCCGGGTACCTGGAGAGAACCCACACAGGTACAGGGAGAAAGGCCCAGTGTCACCCAGGACTCAAACCTGGAACCTTCTTGTTGTGAGGTGACAGCGCTAACCACCATGTGCATAGTTTTACACTAAATACAATTTAAAAAAAGAGCCATGGCTATGCATGATATTATAAACATGAGTCAAAGAGTGCATGCCTCAGCCTTTTTGCATACACAGAGCTTTCAGCTTCAGCCCACTAAGAGTTTCCATGTGTTAGGGCCCTGCTGCCAGAAACATAAGACTTCATTATTATGAAGGTTTGATAAAGGTATCATCACAAAGTGACACTGACAATTCCATAGACCACAGTGAATATAAAAAAGCCAAATAAGTCACATAAAATTTCTCCTGTTGCCTCTGCACTCACTCAGTCAAGAACATGCTTATACACAGACAGTATCTATTAGCAGGATCAGTAGTGGTTTGGGTCTTTTTATCAGATTTGTTGACAATGACTAAAGTACTGAACATCACTCACCCTTTAATGACTTTGGAAAAACATATAGATAGATAGAGAGACAGATACATTTATTGTCATTGTACAAACTATACAACAAAATTTAGATGCACTTTAGGGTATGACTATAAATACAATAAAACAATACTCTTTATATGCTGTGCCCGCATATACACTTTAGTGAGGTAATTACACTTAAAAGAAAATCAATAAATATTGCACAATAAAACATGCTGTCTTCTGGTTTTGGAGATCATTATTTGGTATACTTATGGCTCTGGAGTAAAAACTGTTCAGAAACTGTGTAGTATGTGTTTTAATGGATCTGTATTATTTACTCGAAGGCAGCAGTTCAAAAAGGTCATGAGCAGGGTGAAAATAGTCGTTGAGAATGTTGTGAGCTTTCTGCAAACAGCAAGAAGTGAAGATACCATTCAGGCTTGGCAGCTGGGAATGTGTGATGTTATTTGCAGTCTTGAGGATTCTCTGCAGAGCCTATATTGTCACTCATTTCCTAATCAAAAAACACAGTATTTTGCCACAATGAGAACAGCTTTGGATATTACATTGGATTACACTGGAGAGATTTCTGTTTATGTGTTCTTCTCCCTGTTTTGAAGTTAGTATAGCTCAGTTAAGAAAACTGTCATGTCCTTCCATGCACCAGTACAAGAAATATTTAAAACGGTGTCTGTTGACAGCTGTAGGGGTGCTTCTTTATGCCTCCAGGCCATCATCGATCAAATCCTACCCACACAGTCCTGATGAAGCAGGATGAAGCTGACTGAGTGCCTCATTATTGACACCAGACCAGCCTTTGGCAGGTTAATGATAAGTGAGTATTTACCAGCTTCCATTCTTGCTAACATTGATCTCTTCCTCTTGTCATAGCCAAACTGCAACCATGCAAAAATGCAAACAGAAAATCAAAATGTTCTCCCACAAGATTGATTTATTATTTTATTTAGAAATGTGTGCAAGTTATCACCAAGACATAACTACAAGAAATCAATCAGATGAGATAAAAATAGATATGAAAACAAAGTCAACAGGAGATAACTTAGCAAAGCCCCCCCCAAACCTGCCCAGCGTCACTTTGGTATCAAGACACTGGTACAAGGATTGGGAGTGACCAGACCAAGAAGGCACAAGGGAAGACTGGCAGCCCAACAAAAATCTGCACTCTGCAAGTCACTGTTTTCCTTGTAATGCAGAATAAGGCAGATCAATGCACTACACTCAAAACTAATTACACTAGATTTCTGAAATTCTTGCAGCACGTTGTTTTTATGATATTTAGAATTTAGAAAGACCAAATCAGTGATTAACACCTTTGTTTCTTGTATGAAGAATTAATATTAAATGTAAAATGAAAAACAAAAACATGAAATACATTCCACTGTGTTTCCTCCAGTAAAACTTAATTTAGTTGGTTAGTTTGGTCTGTCTGCATTGTTGTGTGCATACGTACCTCCTACAACACAAAGC